CGGCCTTTTCCTTTCCTCCTGCGGCGGCCGTGCCCGCCTGTTCTCCCTTCTCCTCGGGGGAGACTGTCCTTCAGGCGCCCCCCACGGCCGTCCCCGGGCTCACGGCTCTCCCTGGGCCCGTGTCCCTGACGCCCGGCACTGCCTTGCCTCCCCCGAGCCGCTGGCGGAGGCCCAGCCCCTGGCCGTGGGCAGCCGCCGTTCCCCTGTGCGGTGGGCTTCCTGCGGCCGCCAGGAGTCCCCGGGGCTCCCGCGGTGGCGGGGTCCGAGGCAGGTCCCGAGCCTCGAGCCTCACCACGGCCCTGTCGGCGGTCCCCGCTGGCCGCGCCGTCTGCGCTGGTGGGACCCCGACTCCTGCTCCCCTGAGTCCGGCCTCTTGGGTCCCTCGGGGCACCGGGGCGCTTTGCCCTTTCTCCCGCCCATGGCGTCCCCGTGGAGAGGGGCTTCCCCCTCTCCCCTTGGATCTGGTTGCCCGGGACTCCCTCAGCCCTCTGCCCTGCACCACCCGGTTCTGCTCTGGCGGGGTCTACAGCCTCACCCCCCCACCCCCCTCCCGCACCTCCCGCCTTAGGCATGAGCATCAATAATGCAAGTGGCTGTGGGTCCTGACCCCTCGAATAACAATGAAGCAGAGGCCTCGCAGGAAAGAGGAGACGCTGCAGCTGCGGACAAAGGCCGAGGACAGGGCAACTGTTCCGCCAGGGAGTCGCTGCCAGCGAGGCCGCCTGGCACTGGGCCACACAGAGCCGCCGCGGCCTCAGTGCTTGCGGGGCAGGGGGTGAGGGGTGCGGAAAGGACCTGTCTGAGCCCTCCTCTCAGTCCTTGGGCTCTAGGGGCCACCCACCCGCCTCCCTTAGCCCCTGGATTCCCCAGAAGACGGGACCAGGCTAACCGGGGCACACAGCGAGCACTGCATGAGTTTTGTTAGTTTGTTGTCGTTCTTTGAGATGGTGAAATAAAACGGAAAGAAACCAGCATAGCATAAATGTACACCTTCAGCTGGTCAACTGGACACCCAGGAAAGTGCGGCCCCACCCCCTAGGGCAGTTCTCTCTCCTCTCTTCCTCCTCCTTTTCTCTTTCACGCCCTCACCTGCTTTGTCCACAAGTATTGTGAGCGCCTGCACCCTGTGCCCAGCCCTCTTCCGACTCCACACTCCCTCCTTCCAAGAACCATCTCCTCTCCGGCCTCACCCACCCTCCAGGCCTCACCCACCCTCCAGGCCTCACCCGCCCTCCGTGAACGACTTTCACTCCTTTGGTTGTGTCCTAGGAGCCAGGTGCTGTGCGATGATGTTGCAGACTCTTCCTTTAATCCTTACAGCCCTGAGGCAGGCCCTATTATTCTGCCCCATTTTACAGAGAAGTAAACTAAGGCCCAGGAGTGAGGTCATTTACCCAAGGCCACACAGCCATCACTGGCACAGCCAGTGTTCAGTGGTTGGGTCTGCCTGGCTTCGAAGATCCAGGCCTCTAGACCAGGTGTCCAGCTGCCCTGGACCATCTCCCCGGCCCTGGAGTCGGCAGTGACTGCCTCCTCCCCACTCATTCGCCTTCATGGCGGCTGTCTGTCAATCCAACCTCTCAAATAGCTCCATTCTGCCCCTATGGTCACCTCTCCTGGACTGCTGCTGGAAGACCCTGAACTCCTCTCCGTGCCAGCCCAGCTTCCATCAACACGCGTTCCAGAGAGTGCCAAGCCCTTCCATTTGTGAGCGGCTATCAGTAAAAATCGTTGATCACACTCTCAATATGAGAATGTTTTCTTAGAACTGAAACATGCCAACTGAAATATCAGCTGACATTAGCTAATATTTCAAAGCGCAGTGTACTTAAGACAAAGCCCGTCCTAGTGAGTGCGGATATAAATCCATTGTCAGTCTTCGTGACCTTTTCAGGAGTGTGAGTATGTTACCATCTTGTTCAGCCTGATTGGCCAGATCCTTGCTGCTGCCACGAAGCTTCCTGAGCCACGGAAGTGCTGGCTGTGCCATTTCTCCTGTTACTGGCGCTTGCAGTGTTACCATCATCTTCAGTTCTTGGCTTCTTGGCAGGAAACTTCATGTCACTTGTTCATTTGTGTGAGTTAGTTTAACCGGATTTTGTATTTATTATTTTTTAATTATATTTTTATTGACTTCAGAGAAGAAGGGAGAGGGAGAGAGAGATAGAAACATCAATGATGAGAAGGAATCATTGATCGGCTGCCTTCTGCATGCCCCACACTGGGAATCAAAGCTGAAAGCCGGGCATGTGCCCTGACCGGGAATCAAACTGTGACCCTCCTGGTTCATAGGTCAACGCTCAACCACTGAGCCACACTGGCCAGGCTGGGTGTCTTTCCCCTCCGACAGGAAGGGGACTCCCTCTGCCCTGACCCAGGGATGCGGTCAGACAGACTCCAGCTGGTTAACTCCTGCCATTTATTCCCAAAGACAGAGGCACAGCAATGACCGGACACCCAGGGACCTTTAGCTGCTTCAAATGCCGAAGAAGCGGATCCTCCTGAGCACCAGCCTGGTCCCAGGGCCAACCCCAGGGCCAGAGGCGGGGAGCCAGCTAATGGTTTTATATGGGAAATTTCTGCATAATTGAAAAATTCAAATTGTTGGACCAGTGAAGAGGTAATAAGGTGTTTATTAAAAACTTTTTCACCCATAGGCAGTTAAAATTTATAATTTAAAACCCAACCCACTACAAAAAGCAGGGGGGGATGATAAAAACTGTGCAACATTGACAAAAGGACCGAGACAGACAAGGCCCGGGGAGGGACAGCCCCGGGGCCGGGTCCCTCCTCTCCCGAGGCCAGGAGCAGCAGCAGAGTGGAAGCTGAGGGGGCCCCAGCCTGTAACCCGGCCCGGTGCGTGGCCCTCCAGGCGGGCCAGTGCCCGGAGGAAGAGCCCTCAGTAGTGTTCACCGCACAGCCTGGACACCCGGCCTGCTCACTTGGCTGCGGAAGGAGAGAGAGTGACGGAAACTCAGGTGCATCCTGGGCAGGACGGGGCCTCCGTCATGTACCTGAGCCCAGACTTGGAATTTGCCAGAACAAGGAGGGCATGTGTCAGGGCTGAGATGGACCCTTGGCCTGTAGGACCTTGGGGATGGGGCTCTTCCTCCCATCCCTCCAGGAGCATGCCCTCCCAGCCACCCCCTCCCCACGCGCAGCCGGTCTCAGGGCCCCTACCTCCCCCATTGCTGGGGCTGTACCTCATGGCCACTTGCTGGGAACGCCAGTCGCCATAGCTCCTGCATGGGCAAAGACAGGGCAGTCACCCTCCATGGGGACTTGGGGTGGCAGACAAGGACACTCATGCTCGGTGCTCTCCTGGCACCAGGGGGCCCACCCTGCAAGTGGCAATGACTCACCCCCGGTCTCCCTCCAGTGTGCTCTGGATCTCCTTCAGGACCCCTGGGGAAGGGAGGCTGGTGAGGCCAGGGCGGGGCCTTTCTCTTCCTCTCACTGATGGGGTGCTGGGTGGGTCTGCCCCCCTCAGTTCCACCCTGGCCTTCCAAACTCCCCCCCAAGGAACATCCCTCCTGTCAGCCCCCAACTCACTCTCATCATTGAGCAGAGCATGCTCCATCACGGGGCCCGGCCTCTTCTCTGGAAGGCAGAGGTCAGGTTAGGAGAGCCCCGAACCCAGGGCTGGAGGGGAGGCTGTTTCTACCCCCAGCTTGAACACACACACACACACACACACCTGTTCCCCTGGGGTCCCCTCTCCTCCTTCCATCCCCCAATGTCTGGGCCCGGGCTGGCCCAGGTGTGCTCACACACTCCCCTGGCCTGTCTTACCCTCTCCATCACTCTGGCTCCCTGAGTTCCTGTGGGGGGAGAGAGAGTAAAGATCAGGGGGCACTAGGCTCTCCGCTCTGGTCCATGAGGTCAGCTCACCTGGCCTGCCCTGAGCAGGGGGCGCCTGGGAGGGAAGCCAAGCCCCTTCCTGGTGGCAGCTCACATGGGAGGAAGGGGTATATGAAGGGGGGCAAAGAGCCAGAGCCAGGAGGGTGGGCTGAGCTCACAGGGGAGGGGGAATGTGGCAGCTCCCAGTGGGCGCCATCAGGAGGGTGAGGATGAGGGGCTGGGGCAAAGGCCACGTGCCCTTTACCCACCTGGCTCGGCCCAAGGCCTTCTCAGGGCCTGATCCATTGCGGGGACGACTGTGGTTCTTGGTTTCTGCAGAATCCACCAGACACCGGGGCTCCACCAGCCACTTGGTGGACAGAGAGAAGCGCTCAAACTCCGAGGGCGAGATCAGGTAGAAACCTGGGGGGTGGAGACTAGGTGAGGCCAGCCTGGTCTCTCAGGACCTGCGGCTGCTGACAATGGGGCTTCCAACCAGGGGCATTGGGGCCAGAGCTCCCCTCAAAGTTCTCAAAGAGCCTGGCCTTGGCCACACACCCCTGGCTGCCCTTCCCAGCAGCCCCTGCAGCACAGCGGGAGCCCCACGCCCCGCCCGGCTCGCAGAGGCAGGACGAGCCACCACCTGCACACCTTGGCCGTGTTTGGTGAAGACGCAGGAGGCGATGCCGCTGACGTCCTCCCGGCGGATGCAGCCGTAACGCACCTGGGGCTTGAGCAGGGGCAGCGAGACCACCTGGATGTCGCCCAGGTTGGTGAGGACAGCCAGGTGGTGCTCCCCGTAGTCCTCGGCGCGAGAGCTGCTGAAGTGGGCCACGCTGACCCGCCGCACCCTCGAGCCCTCCAGGGCAGTCAGCTTCAGCTTCAGCTTGGCACTCACCTTGGGCAGCGTGAACACCTGGGGCACAGGGCGGCGGTCACACCCATGGCCAGACCCCACTGATCACTTCCCTGCGTCCACCGGATGCCACCCAACTTCCCAGCGAAGCCTGCTCGGTCTCGGCACGCCCTCGGCACCAGGACAGGCGCTCACTGCACCTGGACCATGACGGTGCTGGGCCACTTCCTCCCACAGACAGGTCCTGCTTCAGTGTCCCCACCGCTGACCTGGGCCCGGGGACGCCACACAGACCCCTCTCCTTTCCGGTGCCCCTGCAGCCCCTCCTGCATATGCCAACTGCATACACAACTTTAAGAGTCCCAGCCACCGTCATTTGTGCCCGAGGCATGAGCCCCCTGGATGTCCCGAGGATTCCCGGGACCCCGTCCCCACCGTGCAGCACCTTGAACTGCTCCTCTGACACGACAAGCAGCTGGTGGCTTCCCTGCATGTCCGGGCTTTTCGATAGGTCGTGTGCGACTTCCAGGGGCTCGGGAAGGGGCACACTGTGTCCGTCCAGCACCAGGATGCCCACGACTGGTGCTCGGTGCATCAGCTGGATCTCCTTGACTACGGGAAGGAAGCAGGCAGGTGATGGGGCTGGTGGGCGGGCGAAGAGTGAGGCTGGAAGCACCGCCCTGTCCCAGCCAAGGCAGACCAGCACCCTCCGCTCTCCCCCTGCTCAGCACTCACCCTGCTCCGCCCGCACGGGCTCATCCATTCTCCGCTCCGCTGGGGGCACACGCAGGGCAAAGGCGTAGACGGTACCCCCGTTGGTGCCGGCCCACAGAGAGGGGCAGTGGCGGGAGCCTGCCCAGAGGCAAAGGTTTATATGCAACCCTGGGTCTGGAGGTCAGGTGGAGCCAGGTGACCTAGGCTTACGTCCTGGCCTTTCCAGTCACTTGTGTGACTCCAAGGTCAAGTCAGCCAACCCTGTAAGCCTCACTTCCCTCCTCTGTACAAGGGGGCTCTGCCTGCCTCCGGGGTGCAGATGGGGAGAAGGCGCCGAAGGCTCTCTGACAACCAAGGGCCCTAAACACTGATGGCTCTGAACCTGGGACAGCCGGCCCTTGCAATACAGGAGCGGACAGCCCACGCCCACCCGTACCCTGGCAGGAGGGCGCAGGAGCGGGCAGGGGAGAGACAGTGAGGGAGCTTGTCCAGGCCCACGGCGTAGCAGCAGGCATGTCCCACCCTCACAGCCATTCTAGGAGGAAGACATTCCCCCGTCTTACAGGGGAGAAGCTGAGACCCATCTTCTGGAGCAGTGATGGCGAACCTTTGAGCTCGGCGTGTCAGCATTTTGAAAACCCTAACTTAACTCTGGTGCCGTGTCACATATAGAAATTTTTTGATATTTGCAACCATAGTAAAACAAAGACTTACATTTTTGATATTTATTTTATATATTTAAATGCCATTTAACAAAAAAATCAACCAAAAAAATGAGTTCGCGTGTCACCTGACACACGTGTCATAGGTTCGCCATCACTGCTCTAGAGAGTGGTAGAACCTGGACATGAAGCCAGGACAAAGGGACCTGGAGGCCCAGGCAGGGGAGGGAGAGGCAGGCCCTGGTCTCTACCCGCTCACAAAGGGAAACCCCTCTTAGGGGGCCACCAACCTGCCCTCATGCCGGGGGCGCATGCCTGGGCCCTCCCACCCCAGGCTGGCTACTCACTGTCCCTCAGGTAGGTGTCAGCGAAATAGAGGGTCCGGACGAAGCCCGTGAAGGAGTCCTCCGCTGTGCGGGCCTCGATCTTGCGCTGCACGGGCGCCAGCTCCATGTTCTGCAGGCCCAGCCGCTCTGTCCGGCAGCTCCGCTCCGGCACCTGGGGGGTGGGGCCAGCCTGAGGGGGGCTCTGGCCTGACCTCCCTGGGGCATCTATTGCTCAACACCCATCATTCTAGGGGGAGACTGGTCCCAGCTCACGCCACTCCCTGCCTGGTAGCATTTACTGAGGACCTGACCCTAAGGCGCTACAATTATTGCCTCTTACAGTTGGGGAAGCTGAGGCACAGAGGAGCAGGGTGACAAAACGGAGGCCACATAACTGGTGGGCAGCGGGCAAGGATGTAAACCTATTGGTGGGCCCAGGGCCTGTGCCTGCAGCCAAAGCAAGTGGGAGGGAGGGGTAGTCCGGCTCGCTGCTGGCTGCCCCCAGCTCTGCCCGGGTGGCCTCACCTCTCCCGGGGACCCCGCTGGCCGCCGCTTCTGGCTGGGCACCCGACTGCGACGCATCCGGCGGAAGGACTGACGCAGGGACTTCTTTAGGGACTTCACGCGGGACAGGGGGCCCTCTAAGGCTAGCTGGTCGCTGGGGTGCAGGGTGCACCTGGGGGGGACATCAGACCATTAGCATGGCCAGGGCCCGAGGGTCCGCGCCAGGCCCCAGGCCCCAGCCCCCATGGGCAGCCTGCTCACTTGACAAAGACCTGCCGCCGCTGCTGGTGGTCGAAGAGGCCAAAGCCGTGGCTGGTGCCAAAGGCCACGAGCCGCCACTCCGAGTGCAGAGCCAAGGACGTGACCACAGCCGGGGGCTGGCACTGCACCAGCACGAAGGGCTGGAAGCCGGGCTCGAAGCGCACAGGTCCCGGGCGGGCACACAGGCGCTCGTGCCCCTTCCAGCGGTAGCCCTCCTGGTCCTGCAGCAGGTCAGCCTCCACCTGCTCCACCACGTGCTCTGCCTCCTCGTCGTTCAGCTCCAGCACCAGCACCTGGATGGGATGGCAGAGGGCTGAGCCAACCCCAGCACCCAGGGACAGCACCTCGGGGTGGGGTGGGGGCTGGTTCCTGTCCTGCTGTGCCCTCAGCCTGAGAAGGAAGCTCATAGGCCTGGACGTTACCCAGAGTCACCTGATCACTCCTCCCCCTGCTCCCTTCCCCATCCCGCCTGCTACCTGCCCTGCTGTGCCTGCCACCGCCAGGTAGCCGCTGTATTTGCAGAGGAAGATCTTCTGGATGCCCAGGCGGGGGTCGTCACTGTAGGGATCGAAGGAGCCCACCTAACGGGAGAGGAGGCCCACGGGTGGCCATGAGCACTGGACCCAGCCTGTCCCCGCCCTCCCGGTGCCCAGGCTCCTGGCCTCACCTTGCGGAGCGGGGGCCACTCGTCCTCACCCTGGGCATTGAGGTGCTCACTGGGGTCCGTGTCGGTGAGGAACACAGGGACTGTGCTAAGTTTGTAGAGCAGCCGCAAGCAGACGCCCGAGGCGTCCCAGAACCGCACGGTGCCGTCCTCGTGCCTGTAGGCAGAGCCGTGAGAAGGATGCCGGGCGAGGGTGCCAGGGACCGCTCCCACCCTGTCCATCCTCCTATGCAGGAGAAGAGCAGCATAAATCACCTACCCCGTGAGCAGCAGGTCTCTCTGGGGTGGGGTTGGGGCCAGGCTGATGCCACCGTCAATAGGCCATTCCTAGAGGGTGAGACCGAGAAGTGCGTGCGGGAGCTTGGCTCCCAGGTGGGGCTGGGGCCGGGGCGGGTGCTGGACCTACCATGGTGGAGAAGTGTGTGTTCTGCCAGCTGCCGGCAGCGATGATCCGCTCCCACAGCTTGAGGGGGATGTTGGAGACGTGATGGGAGCAGGTGATGGCGGAGCAGTGCAGGGAGGCCAGGTAGGGGGGCTGCACCGGTGGCCAGCCGTCCGCCCGCAGGTCCATCACCACCAGCTCCTCCTCGGCCAGCACCACCAGGGCGTAGGGGTCATCAAAGGCTGGGGGACAGGCCAAGGGTCAGGGGCTGCAGGAGCCAGTAGGAAGCAGTTTGCCCAGCCTGGCCCTGCAGAATCTGATGCTTTAAGGGTTGGAGCCAGGGAATCTGCCTTCAAACACAAGCTTGAAATCTAACCATGTATAAAAGGAAACATACGCCACGACCAAGTGGGATTTATCGCAGGTGTGCAAGGCTGCTTCAACCTTTGAAAACCAACACATCAACAGGCCGACGAAGAAAAGCCCACGATCACATGCAGAAAAAGCCTTTGCTAAAACCCAGACCCATTCATTTATGACAAAAACTCTCAGTGAACTAGGACTAGAGGGGCACTTCCTCCACTGGACAAAGCACATCTGTGAAAAGCTGCAGCTAACATCTTCACGGGGAGACACTCGAAGCTTTCCGCTAAGCGTGGGAACAAGGCTCCTTTTCAAGTACCAGCTAAGGCAGTAAGATGCGAAAAGGAAGCACAAGGTGTGCAGATTGGGATGGAAGAAATAAAACTGCCTTGGTTCACGGATGACAGGACCGTTTATGGAGAAAATCCAAAAGGACTGACAAAAAAACTGGACGCTGCCCCAGCACCTGTGGCAGGCGTGAGGAGCCCCCCCACTCCCTCCCCTGGCGGCCTCAGGCCTTGTCATGTCCGTCAGGTGGAGAGAAGGCCCGCCTCCTGGACATCTCCCGCCAGGCCTCCTCTCCAGGTTTCGACAGCAGCCCTTTCTGGGCTTGCCTGTCACCCAGTGTATGAGGCTGACTCAGGGCTTTGCTGTCCTGGTTGAGCTCCAGGAGGCCGGCTCAGAGCTGGCCCCAGCCCATGAGGTCTTTCCCATGTCCACACCAGGGCCCCTTTTCTCAGCTGGGTGGGTATTAAACCCAATAATACAGAGCTGCCCCCTTTGGACCAAAACCCCATTTGAGCCAGGGAAGGGCAAAGAGAGCGTGGAGTGGGCAGGAGGTGTGGCCAGCAAGCATGGAGCCACCAGGCTGGCAGAGACAGGGAGAGAGGGACTGTGGCTGCTGCCTCAGTGGCCCCCAGGGGGTGGCTGGTTTGGGAACCTCTGTGCAGGCCCTTCCTTTTACAGACAGGACGGTCTGCCTACACCTCCCAGAGTCCGGCCTTCCCCACACCACTCCCTCAGCTCGCCTACCCGCCGCTGGGTCCACCTCGGAGAGCACAGTGAAGTCGATGACCCGGGACGTGAAGTCGAAGGCTGTCTGCTGGCCATTGTGCACCACGGAGATGCAGTGGCGGTCCCCGTAGCTGGCCCGAGGCATGCCACCCTGGAAGATGGTGAAGGGCAACCTGCAGGCACAGAAAAGGGCGGTGGGCTGGGGCTCTTGACACAACAGCAGACAGCCACTGGCTGACCGGGCAGCGTGGACTCCCTGTGACTGGCCTCTGTGCAGGGGCCGGGAGGGAGGCTCGTCTCAGGGTGAGTGACCACTCCAGGTCCCCAAGAGGGGGTCAAAAGGCAAGACCCTCATCTCTTCTTGACTGCAGCAGCTCAGGGGAACTGTGGGTTGAGTCTGCAGCCACTCCTGCTCCAACCAGAGCTGCCCCCCTCCTGCTTATGCACGGGTCTCCCCGTGTGATTGTTTGAAGAAACAGGTCTGAAACCTGCCGATCTTAATCGCCTCCCGGGAGTGCAGAAGGGAGAGAATGGGAATGTCTTTTTCAGGACCTGGCCATGAGCTATGAACGGCCCTCTCTCCTTCCCTGGAGCCTGAGACCTCAACGTGGGACCCTAAGGCATAGTCCCCCCACCCGCCTCCCGCAGAGGCCTTCCAGCCCTCCAGGGAGAACCTGGAAAGGGCAAAGGGCAGAGAGCGGTACCTACCCCTGCTTGGTGGTCAGCCAGAAGATTTTGGTAATAGCTTTGCAAGGAAAGGGACCTAGAAGAACAGGAATTATTAGCTGGAACGGATCTGCCCACCCGCAGAGGCACGCAGGTCTACACGAGCAGAGCCCTCACCCCACACCCTCTCCGTGGACCTCTGCTAGGAGCTCTGCCCCAAGGGAGCCACACAGGCGCCAGGAAACCCACCATGTGGCTTTGGACAAAGCCGTCACCTCTCTGGGCCCCAGGTTTTACTGCTATGAGGGGGGTGCCTACACCCGAATGCAGGAAGGCCGGCTGGGCACAGAGGACATGGGTTCGCACAAAGAAAGACAGTCCCAGGTGACGGGGTAGGGCCAGGCCCCCGCCAGGCAGGCGGAGCACTGACCGTAAGGCACACAGCTGCGCAAGGGCTCCAGTTGCTGGGTATCGGGATTCACAGGCCACTGGCAATAGCTGCCATCCGAATGGCAGCTGACAATCAGGCGGCCGTCCCGCTGCCAGCAGGCACTGTCCAGTTGCTTCAGGGGAGGAAAGGGAGAGAGCGCAGGCTGGGGTCAGGGCGATGGTCCCGATACCGATACCCCCGCCCCCACGCCCACCCCCACGCCTTGGCACAGGGGCTGTATGCGATAATGGGATCTGGGAGAGCCCCGTGGCGGCTGCCACCAGCCGAGGCACCACCCACCTGGCTGCTGAGGAAATGGCAGAGCACGCGGCTGCCCCGCAGGTCCCAGATGACGATGAGGCCCCGGCTGTAGCCGATGAGGACCTGGTTGGGGTCTCGAGGGTGCTCCTGCAGGGCCTCCACCATCTCAAACACCCGCCGCTGGCGGGCCTCCTCGGGCAACCTGGGTGAGGGGAGCACTGTGAGCCCACACCGACGTGCACCCCGGGGCCTGGCTGAGAGCACGGCACAGCGGCACACGGCACTCCACGTGGCCGCGGGCACTGAATGTGCAGCACGGAGAGCTGCGGGCACACATCATCCAGGGGACAGAGAAGCAATGCGTAGAGCAGGACAGTGGTGCCCTGCTAGGATGTAAACGCAGGCAGCACAACTATGAGGAAAGGCAGGGAAGTGATTTCCAGAAACGTCGCTGTGGTGGGAGGGAGGGAGGGAGTCCCTCCTGGGAAGGGCACGTGGAGGCTCCTGGGAGGCGGCGGGCTCTATTTCTCTGCCCGGGGCTGGCTGTGGGGATGCTTACTTTACAATCCACTGAACTGCACGTTCACATTTAGTGCATTTCTGTAAGGAGGTGGTATTTCATCAAAAGAAGTGTTTAAGACCCACAGAACAAAGCTCTGTATTAGTTGGCCTGGCCTTGAGCCTTGACCCTGCCCCCCCACCTCCTTCCCTGGGCCTGGAATGCTGATGTGAAGTCTGGAGCTGCTGCAGCCAATAGAAGGCCATGAGGTAGCAGGCATGGGACCAAGAGCCAACTCTGAGGATGGGCAGTAGGAAACAGCCTGGACCTGAGGGCATTTCTACACCCAAACCAAAGCCCTCTGTACTTGCCCTGGTGCACACGACCCCCAAGGGCACCCTCTGTACTTATGCCCATGCCACGTACCAATGCTCTACAGCACACCCCGCGAGCACCAGCCTCTAGAAACGGGAGTGGGGGGTCAACTCCCTGCACCCTTATCTGTAACGGTTCAGTTTTTGAAGGATTCTACAACGATCTACTACTTATATAATTAAAAGTTTCTTCCCCTTAACTTAGAAGTAAGCAATGTGAGAATTACACCATCTTGGAAAATAGAGAGAAGAAATAATATCAAAAAGAGAGAGAAAAAAAGAATAATATCAAAAGGAAGCTGTGCAGCAGGGTTGATGCCACTCGCCCCCGGGGGACCTCCCTCAGACGGCTCCTTTGCAAGAGTATCAGCACCCTAGCCTCCCCCGGACCCCTCAGAACCGCAGGACGTTCTCCTGCTGCAACCCTCGTCTCCTCCCTCTTGACCCAGACCGGATCTCACAAAAGCTTTGGAGCACCCCCCGGGCTGTGGCTGTCAGGACCTTTGGCCTGGAGCCTGCGTGCGAATGGAAACCTACACAGACGCCAAAGCACAAGCATGGGCAGAAGCTGCCCCGCTGGCGTGGGGCGGTGTGTGTGGCGTCTGCCCCACTGGGAGCCCCGGGGGTTGTGAAATACATGGCACCAGGGCAAAGAGGCTAAGAGTTGGTAACACGACACCATCATGTTGAGCCTCATTTTCCTTTTCATTAAATGAGGTGATAAGTCACCCACAAGACCCCTTCTAGTGCCATGATGATAACATCCTACGGGGTGAGGTTCTCAATTTGGGGGACAGGTGAGGAGCTGAGCTTCTCCTCCCGCCGCCTAGACTTCCCGGAGAGAAATGATAAGCTCCTGACACATTCCCGGGACCAAAGGGAGAGGGTCATGCCAAGTCCAGGGGACGGGTTCCTAACAGCGGGGTCCGCGGGCTCACCGCTGCAGCACGGTGTCCGAGCTGATGGTCCGGTCCTCCAGCGTGCGGAAGCCTGGCACCTGCACCACGAACACGCTGCCACTCTCGGTGCCCAGGTAGAGCGTCTTGGAGGAGGAGTGTGGCAGGACCACGGTGATCTGTGTGGCGCTGGGGGCAGCCCTGCGGAGGGGAACAGCTACCCGTGAGCTGGCCGCTGTCTAGGCAGGGACCCCACGGATGGGCTTCTGACCCTGGCTGCCCTCCTCACCCCGGGAAGGCCATCCCTAGGAAAGCAGGCTGTAAGGTCTTTTTTAATAGAGTCCAGAGTCTCAGGCTAGGACTAAGATATTGGCTACATTCTGCCAAGACGGGAAGCAGATGGCAGAGTCCGCCCAGGAAGCAGAGACCCCCTGGGAGCCTCCTGCACAGCCCCGCCCACTCCACCCAGAGCACCTTCGGGTGGCGTCGTGTGGGCTCAGACGCCTGCTAGGACCCCCAAGGGCTCCTAGGACCTTCAAAGGGTGATCCCACCCTGAAGCTGGGTGCATGGGTCAGGGTGGCTGGGAGAGCAAGGGGGCCGAATCCTTACCCTGGGGGGCCCCGCAGCGTGAAACTCTCATCTTCCTGCAGCTCGGACACCCCGCCTTTGACCTTCAGGCTCCACAGGTGTAGGCTGTTGTCGTCCAGCAGGGTGACCAGCTGGCACTAGGGAGGGGACGGGGGCAGGAGCGTGCTGTCTCATTGACCCGGGAGCGCCAGCATTCGCGTGGCCTTTACACACCACGGCGGTCTCAGAGAGCCCCAAACCCAAAGGCCCCCCTACTCTTAGGGGGAAGGGTGGTGGTCCCAGGTCCTCCCAGCAGCACCACACCCAGGGCCCCCAGATGCTTGCCTCTCCTTCGGGAAGATGTGAGAGTAAGAAGGGCGCAGAGGGGCCCTCACCTGGCCAGGCAGGAAGTGGATCTGCACCACGGCGTTGTTCTCCCTGTGCAGCCCCATGAACTCCACCCCCGGGGCACCGTAGCTGGGAGCAGCAGGCTCAGGAAAACCTCCAGAGGCAGGCGCCACCCCTCGCCGGCCCGAGAGCGGGGACTGGGCCCCATGGCAAGGGTGTAACACACGGTGGCTCGCCCTTTCCCCAGACAGCAGGACTGGGGCCTGGGGTGGGGAGGAGGGCGTTGGCCAGTGACCTGACCCCTGAGGGTGGGAACAGCCAACCAGGGAGAGCCTTCCCAGCCAGGCAGGTGGGGATGACTGTGTAAGGGTGACCCCGTGGCAACTGTTAGGCTGCTCGGCGCCACCTCCCACCCCACCCCTACCCTGCAACCTGAGCTGCAACAGACCCCTCAGCTGCCGCTTGGTGGCACCTGTGAGAAGCCGCGGGCACCCCTGCGGGCCCAGCCCCAAGAGCTGTGACCAGGAGTCTGGGCAAGGGGATTGGTCACCAGGGTATGGCCATGGCCTGGCAATGATTAACCGGCCGAGGGAGGGCTGAGCCAGCAGTGGGACTAGGCCCCTGCCCTGCAGTGTTTACACCACCCCCAGCCCAGCCCCGTGGCTGCAGGCCCCCAGCCTTCCCGGCGCCGGCTCACCCCACACCCCGGGGCTCACCCTGGGCTCAGGTTAGATGGGGCAGGAGTGCGCCAAGGTGTGTAGCCCAGCCGGCCTGGCCGAGCAGTGACCTGTCCTGGACCCTCTGAAAGGGCCCAGAGCTAATGCTTCAGACAAAGACGGCCAACCAGACACTATCCAGCCTCAGCCAGGGGGGGCCGTCCCTGCCAACCGGGAGTCTGCTTTACTCTCTCTGGTGCGTGCGCACGTGCGGGGCGTGTGCGGGGAGGAGAACCTGGAAGAGCGGCTCCCCGGCACGGCTCCCCTGGCCTAGCCCGGCACTGCTCTCTGGTTTGCAAAGAGCCCGGGCCAGTCCCCTGACTCCCACTGGGAAAGGCTTCTTGGCCCCCCCGCCTCCACGGACTGCGCTCAGGGCTGACCCCGAGAGGCTATGTGGGACGCCCCTGAGTGAGAAAGACCATCCCCAACTTGCTTTGTTTCTTTCTTGGAGGGCGGGGGTCCTTGCTGCACCTCACCAATGCCAAGTCCTCGCCCCTTCCCGGCCTTCCCAGGGCGGGAGCTGAGAGCACCGAAAGGATACAGCTTGACGGCTCCGGAGCGGGTGCCGATGGCCAGGATGCGCAGAGAGGGGCTGTAGCCGAGGGCGCTGGGCTGGTGCGGAAAGCCATGTTCCACCGTCTGCAATGACAGCCACACGGGCCTACAGACACGTCCAAGAAGCCGCAGCACAGAGCCACCCCAGCAGGAAGGCGGCACCGAGTCCCATTCAGGCTCCCACCCAGACACCCATGTGCGGACCGTCCCCCACCCCCTCCCCCAGCCCATGTCTGACCCTGTCCTGGGCCACCTGACCACCCATCCCTGGGAACTCATTTTTCCTGACACACACTGGCCACTTGGTCTCCAGGAACTCTCAGTTCCTCCACCAGGTGTACTGTGGGCAACCCCCAGCCCTCCTACGGGGGGTGCAGGAAGCTTTGGGGGCCTGGCACTGGGGTCCGAAGGAAGCCACGGTGGCCCTTCCCAGCCCTGCACTGTCCAGGCTCCTCCAGCCCTGACTGTCTGCTCTGCCAGGGCCCTCCTAGCACGGGAGCTCTCCGTCTTCCCAGACAGGAAACTCCCAGGTGCTGGTGCAGGCACGTGCTCTTGCTCATGTCTTAGGACAGAAGTAATCCGCATTCCAGAAAACTTGGAATAAAGGAGTTTGAAAAAGAAAACAAAAGTAACCTGCATTCCTACAACCGGAAGTAAACCTCGCTAACATCTGTGTGTGTCTGTCTTCCCCGAGCTTGTGAGTGTATGCGCGTGTCCTGCCTTAAAACACAGAGACCTGCCCTGGCCGGTTTGGCTCAGCGGATAGAGCGTCAGCCTGCGGACTGAAGGGTCCTGGGTTCGATTCCAGTCAAGGGCATATCCTCGGGTTGCAGGCTCAATCCCCAGCGTGCAGGAGACAGCCGATCAATAGTTCTCTCTCATCATTGATGTTTCTCTCTCTCCCCCTCTCCCTTCCTCTCTGAAACCAATAAAAAATATTCAAACAAAAAACGCAGAGACCTAATTGGGGCCCTACCACCTGATACTCCTATACCTGAGCAGCCCTGTAGCCTGTTTCCCCCGTAGCCAGCCCAGGTTGTCAAAGCACTGAAATGACCCAATGGTGGAAGAATATTCGCTGTGGGAGGTGCCCTAACTCACCAGGCCTCTGTTGTTAAACGTTTTCTTTGTTTCTAGAGGTCCTGCAATTGCCACTTGACCGATGACCCCTCCTGGACTCCCGTCTTTGCCTGCAGCTCTGAGCATTCCCACAGGCAGAGGTGGCAGGGATGGAGTCCAGGTTTTAAAGGGACAGATAGAAACCCTACAGATTACTCGGCAAACCATCTTAGGAAGGCTTCTGCTGTTTCTTTATCAGCTAAGCCTACCCCTCACCTCCCGCCCCAGGGGCCCCTGAACCTGCAGACCTAGATGACAGCAGGCAAAGGGAGGCCAGCACCTGCTTCCAAGTCTAGTGATTTCTTCTGGTTTAAACCATGGAGACGGCCCTGCAGGAAAGGGCCGCGCCGATGAGGCCGCTCTCCTGCGGCCCAGGGCTCTGCTCTGGGCTTCGGTTGGCTATCCAGTCGGGCCTCCGAGGAGCAGAGAGAGATAAGCCCTGCTGACAGCTGGAATGATAACTTAGCAAACCCAACGCTGCCCGCCTGCTGTCCAGGCCCGTGGTCCATGGTCGGAGGCCCCATGCTGGGAGCAGGCCAGGGAGCAGCTCCCAAAGGGCCTATTCTGGGGACGTCTGGGGACACCAGGTGTGGGAGGCGCCCTCAGGCCTGGCTCTCTGCCAGGGACACAGGCTGCCCTGAAAATGGCTGGGAGGGCAGTAGCGACCCAGCAGGAGCCCCGCTGGCCGCCCAGGTCCCTGTTCAGCTATGTCAAAAATGCAGAGCCTGGAGAAGCCGTGGGGAGATAGCGAGGGTCTGGAATGCAAACATTTCCCAGGAAAAGGGGGGCAGGGAACATGAGGGGTGTGGGGGACAAGCTTCCCCAGGGGCCCCCACTAGGCCGCAGCCAGCCCAGGTTGCTGGGGCCGCAGGAGGCCAGCAGCCAGAGCTCGGGAAGACGCTCCTGGGACGGGAGCGTTCTCCCAGAACCACGGCAGCAGCAGGCTGGGGTTGGAGGGCTCTGCGGGCAGCGTCCTGCAGGAGCCCGGTGGCCAGTAGGAGGCCTGCGCCTGGCGTGACCCAGCGCGACAGTCGCAAGGCAGCACCGAGCACTTGCAAGGTGGCTGGTGCCACCAAGGGGCAGACTTTTTAATTTTATTCTATTTTAATTAACTTGCATTTCAGATGGACGTTCACTTCAGTTACTGGAAAACTATGTAGGAATGTTCTTGGGTTTCAAAGGAACAGGGGCTGGAGTCGAGGAGACCAAGCTTTGGATTTTCTTTAAAAATATTTTTTTGTATGGATTTCAGAGAGGAAGGGAGAGGGAGATAGAAACATCAATGATGAGAGAGAATCGTTGATCAGCTACCTCCTGCTGTGGGATCGAGCCCACAATCAGGCATGTGCCCTGACTGGGAATCGAACCGTGACCTCCTGGTTCATAGGTCGACGCTCAACCACTGAGCCACACTAGCTGGGCTGGGTCTCCTTTTTCAGCTGTAAATCTTTAGCTCTAAACTCAGACCACATATTTCCAAAGAAAATTTAATGTCCAAACTAAGATGTGCTGTGAGGGTAAAACACACTTGGGATTTCAAAGACTTTTTAAAAAGTCTCATTAATTTATATTGAAACAGTATTTTGAATATAGTGGGCTAAACAGAATTTTTCATCAAAATGAATTTTACTTGTTAAAAGAATTTTGTGATAGGCCTTCTGGAATATTTCAAATCACATATGTGGCTCTTACTGTTTTCCTCTTGGGACTTGAGCTGCCCTACAGGAGGCTGCCTCAGGCCGCGGGCAGGCAAGTCCCGCCAGGAGAAGACAGCCTGCAGCTTTGGGTCAGGCTCGCAGGCCTGAGAACACAGGGCTGACTCCCTGGCAGGCAGTTCTCCTAGCATCTCCCGACCCCTCCTACTGCGGAGCGGCCTAACCCAGAGGGACACAAATGTTGGGCCCACCATTCAATCACTCCGACTGATTCCTCATGCCCCCCAGGGCCCTGGCGTCACTGTGCTGCCCCTCCCTCCCCGCTTTCCCATAAGCTGACCTAGACAGACAGGGACTGAGTCGGGCCCACTGAGCTCTGAACCCCCCTCTGCCACTTAGAAGGCGTGTGGACTTGGGCAGCCACTCGGCTTCTGAGCCTCATTTCACATCTGATAAGTGGGACAACACCAGCGTTGTCCTTGGCTCGAACACAATGAACCTTAAGATGAACCTTAAGATGAACCTTAAGACCACCTGAGGCGGCTGGAAGGCTCAGCTCACCCCACAGAGCACACAGGCCCTGCCGCTAAGGCCAACTTCCTTCCCAGGTTCTCCTTGTTCCCTGCACCCCTCAGGGTGTCTTCTCTAAGGTGACAACTCTGGAGGGACAAGGCTCCCTTAAGAACAAATAAGGGGCCTGGCCGGTGTGGCTCAGTGGCTGAGCGTCGACCTATGAACCAGGAGGTCACAGGTCCAATTCCCGATCAGGGCACTTGCCCAGGTTGCGGGCTCGATCCCCAGTGTGGGGCGTGCAGGAGGCAGCTGATCAACGATTCTCCCTTATCATTGATGTTTCTATCTCTCTCTCCCTTTCTCTCTGAAATAAATAAAAATATATTTAAAAAAACAAAACCACACACAAATAAGGGCAATTTCACAATGACCCTACTTGGCCAGGGGCCACGAGAGTGGGATCAAATGAGAACAGTGTGGTGACGGGGGATCCCTGGTCCCAGGGAGGGGAGGGGCGGCGGCAGCACCAATTCAACCTTCGAATAAGGCCCCCAAGTCCCCGAATGAGCAAAGCTAGTCCTGCTGCAGAGACCTGGGCTAGGCAAGGAGGTGTAGGGCCCCCGGGGCAGGTATGGGGGGGTGGTTGTGTTAGGAATCGGGAAGGAAGGGACTTGGATTTGGGGAGAGGATCGAGGTCAATTAATGGAGGTGACAGGGAGGAGCGGGAAACCGGGGGCGGGAGCAGCGTGGGAAGCAGGAAGGGTGAAGGCACCGCTGGCCAGTGTCCAGCTGTCCCCTCAAGCTCAGGTGCTCTGCCCACTCCTTGGTGGCCCCTCCCTGACACTCCCCACAGCCTTTTAGACTCAGCTCCCTACTGGACATGCAAGTTCCCCACGGGCAGCACCTTCCCTCCCGGTCCCCGGAGCAGGGAGGGGAGAAGGCCTGCTGTGCGACTTCCAAGGCACAGAGCCTCCACCCAGGACAGAGGTTGGGGCGGGACAGCAGGCATGGATCCCAGGGCGGCCCTCAAAGCCCCAGACCCCAGCTTCTCCAGCTCAGATTCAAGCTGGAAGGATGACCAACGCCTGGCAGCCAACCTCCCTTACCTCCTGAGCTCAGCATCCAGCCCACCTGGCCCTGCCCCTGCCCCCACCCTGCTCCTGGCTCAGGTGACCTCTGCCAAGGGAGGAGAGAACAATGAACTCCTTTGACAGAGAGTTGGGAAAGGAGAGATTTGCAGGAGCCGCCAAACTGCAACACTAGCCCGGTGTGGGAGAGAAGGCCCGTCTGTCTCCCGCTGGCTCCAGGACCCATTCCAGGCTCCCGGAAGGGAGATGGCAAGGCTGCTGGTCAGAGAGCGGGGGGTCCTTCATCCTGCCCTCGGCAAGGGGGGGCCTGCCCAAGATTGAGGGCTGAGGAGTCCCCAGAGCGTGGGGTGATGGGAAGGAGGGCTGCCAGGGCCACAGGGGGCACACCAGGTTGGCTGGGTGGCACTGCCCCAGACCGGGTGTGGTCAGCTCAGATTCCTGGCGGTGGCAGCAACCTGGCCTGCCCGGTGTGGCTGTCACCTGACACCAGGGGCCCAGCCATGAAAAAGCCAAGACAAAACCACCTGGCCCTGGACGGGGCAGCAGGCAGGCACACTGTGTTTGTTCAGGGCCCGGGAGTGGAGGAGGGGGCCGGCAGGAAGGGCCCAGGCACCCTCATCAAATGGCCGGTCGTTCCACCAGGGGAAACAGGCCAGGAGGGATTTTCGAGGAGCGGGTTTTACTCTGACACGAGCTTATGTCCGCTCGGAGTCACTTCCTCTCTACTGAGATGCCCATGGGGTCCCTGGGTCCCCTCAATCAATCCTGTCAGCTGACTCATCCGTCTTCCCAACAGCCTGAGGACCCAGCACACACCACAGACCACCGCTTCACAGGCGGACAAACAGAGGCTCAAGGGGTGAAGTTACCAAACACACTGGGGGTCCTCATTCCCAGCCAGCGCCCCCCGCAGTGTGAAAGCCCTGGTATGGCACCTGTGTGCCAGGCACCTTCAGAGCATTCTATACCCAGGGCTCTGCTGTGTCAGGCCCAGACTCCCAGGTCCCAGCCTTCCTGGTCTGCGACTCAACAGCCTGGGGGGAGCCTGGGGAGGGACTAGTATGGGTGGAACCATGTAGGTTCCCAAATCTTCCAGGATGTGGCCTCACCCTCCAATCCCAACCCTCCAGGCGCCACCATTCACCCAGAGCCTGGATGAGACGAATCCCCACACCCAGACTCTCCCCTTCTTCCTCTCTGCTCCCAACCCGTGGAATTTCAGACTATCAGCCCCCTCCCTCCCACCAGGAAGGCAAAGGTCTTATCTGAGATTCCCAGAGCCCCAGGCCTGGGCTGTATACACAGTAGGTGCTCAATTCTTGCAAGTGAATGGAAGGAGGAAGGAATTCCAGGAGCCTCCCCTCCCCCTTCCTGACCAGGCCTGGGGATGGGGTGGCAAGGTGTGGGGACCACCAGTTGGGGGACATGGAGGGGCGATTCCTCTACCCTAGCCGCACCCCAGCCCCACCCTCCTAAACAGTAGAACTTGGGGCGGGGGTTCATCCCTCCTTGCTGAGCCTGTTTTTCCGGTTTCCACTGAAATTGGCCGCCTTTTCAGGGTGTGAAATCCTGGCGTTGCCAAGGGCATGGAGGCACATAGGGGTCACCCAGGATCCTCCAGCCGGTGCTGAGGTTCTGAGATAGGCACCCAGCAAATTTGGGAGTAACAATGGCAGGTCCCCAAGGGCCCAGAGATCCCCCAGTTCCAACACTGCACCCCATTTCCCCGAGACCCAAAAGCCCTGCCCACAGCTTCCTTCTGCCAGTGGGAGGAGGCACTCACTTAGGGAAGCCGAGATCTCAGAGGCCAGTGGCCTCATGGCAAGCGCTGAGGGCAGCCACACCTCCCACAGGCCCAGGAAGTCGAGGACGAGGGCAGAGCATGAGGGGAAACCCGCCCCCCTCGAAGCCCTGGGAGCTCTGGCCCTGGGAGGCTGCCTTTGAAAAGAGCAGCTCAAGTTCCTCGACTGCTGTGTTGCGAGCACTTAACCGATCTAATCCCACGTGTCCCTGTAACAAGCCTGTGCTGACCCTCCGCACAGGGTCACCCGGCTTTACGTGGTGAAGCCAGATTGGGACCCCTGTCCATCACCACCTCCTCAAGGGGTCCCCAGCCCGCCTCTTGCTGCAGTCCACCCTCTGGGGCAGAGGAAGCCTAGGCATGGAGGCCCAGGGCCTAGATCAGTGGTTCTCAACCTTCTGGCCCTTTAAATACAGTTCCTCATGTTGTGACCCAACCATAAAATTATTTTTGTTGCTACTTCATAACTGTAATGTTGCTACTGTTATGAATTGTAATGTAAATATCTGATACGCAGGATGGTCTTAGGCGACCCCTGTGAAAAGGTCGTTCGACCGCCAAAGGGGTCACGACCCACAGGTTGAGAACCGCTGGCCTAGATCAAGGCAGAGGTGAGGGGCTAATTACCCCGAAAGAGCTGCAGATTGCTAGGTGGCCCAAGAGCCAGTAAACCACAGCTGTGCTCCTCCTGTTTACAGCTCCGGCCTTTTCGGGCACCTGTCCCCTTCGGGGAGCCCTGAGGAGTTTCTGGGACCCTCCCTGTGATCTCAGGTGACATGTCACTCCGACTTTGGGGGCCTTGGAGCAGGTGTGGGGTTGGGGTAGTCAAATGCCAACCCTGGCAAGTTCCCCAGTGCCTCTCCCCACTCACCCAGGCCTGGAGCCTGCCAGGAATCACGTGTTCCACCTACAGAAAGTTGTGTTTGCCTCTGGAGGCAATCGGAGGAGGGTGGGAACAGCCATGGCCTGTAGCCACTCCCCCAGGGGACCTGGGTCACAGGAACATTATCACACCTGGCAGGCTTCGATATGCTTTCATCTTTCCTGTCCCTAAGCCTCCTCACAACCCTGTGAGGAGGTAGACAGGGCGGATTGTTTTACCCCCATTCCACAGGTGGGGAAGCTGAGGCTGGAAGAGGCAGGGTGATCTGCAGAGTCCCAACTCCTGGGCATCCCACTGCCCTTCCCAGGGAAAGCCCTCTAATCAAACCCCATTTCCAAAGTCAGAGTCCCCTGAGGCATTGTGGGCAGTGCCCAGTAAGGACCTTCATCAAGTAAAGGCAACCCGAGCGCCCGCCCCAGCCTGTGGGAGGCTGATAACGTGGTGCTCACCTGAGCACCTGCTGTGTCCCCTCGCTCCCGCTCCCTTACCTTGTTGAACTGGAAGAGGTCCCGCTTGAGCCTCTCCCGAGCAGGGTCATGTCCCGACCGCAGGAACCGCCTCATCTTGCTTGGCGTGCAGCCCCTGGAGAAAGAGAAGCTGCTGAGCGCCAGGGTGAGGCAAACACGCAGCCCAGGTCCAGAGCCGGCCTGCCAGGCCCAGCCCAGCAGGTGGCCGCCCCTGGGCTAGGTCAGCTCCGCCGTCCTCGGCTTCCCCACGCTCCATCTGTGCCGTGTGGTTCCCCTGGGAACCGGCGCTCCATACCCAGGGCCCAGGACTGGTTAATGTTCTAACGCTGCTCCTGGCCACCTGTGGCCTTGTAAACCCAGCCCAGAAGCTGGGGGAGGAAGCCATTTACCCAGGCTTCATAGGAACAGGAGGCCCAGAGGTTAATTAGCTTAATTGTTAACCTGATTTCTGAAAAACCATAAAACTCCAGCTAAACAGAAAGGGAAACTTCATAAGCCTCTCTCCCTGGAGGCTGGGAGGTGGGAATGCGAAGGCTGACCAGCTGGGCTCCCACACCAGGTGGGGGCAGGGAGGGGCCAGGCAGCAACCTCTGAGGCAGCCAGCACACCTGGGCCTGGGCCGCTCTGCCTTCCAACTTCAGGGAAGGCCTCAGCCACGCTGGGCTCAGGCTGCTCCTGGCCACTGCCGCTGGGAACCTGGGTGGGGGAGCGCGCAGAGCATGCAGTCAGGGGTGCTGGCCCCTCCCACCACACGCCTGGGACCCACGGTGGAGCTAGGTCTGTCCCACGAGGCTGCTGGGGTCTCCGTAGCTACAGCCCTGGCCCCAGGCTTCCCGACCTGACGGGGTGCGCTCAGAAAGGCCCCTTTCCCACAGGCCCAAGTGAAGCTAATCAGAAACCTACTCCCAATAAGAAACCAGCCCTGGACGCTGTCCGCCCACTGGAGAATGCCTTCCCGATCCAGGGGAAACTATTTCTGGATCATCCTGGGGGGAAGGGGGGTCATCTGTGCTCCAGCTTCCGGCTTCCAGTAGCGGCCACCCACTGACCACAGGACACCAAGATCTGTACTTGGAAGCGAAGGAGCCCAGGCCCACCCCGGACACCATAAAGGGAAGGAAGCAGGGCCGGGAGCTCGCTCTGGGGTGCGGGGTGTCCTGTAGAAGAAAGTGTCTAAGCCGAGACCTGAAGGATGCTATCCCCGAAGTTTCTGGCTTCTTGGGAAGTGACCAAAAAAATCAATCAACTTTGCATATGAAAGGACCCTGTGTGGTCAGACTCAGGGCTCCCTCTGAGGCCTGACCATGCTGGGAGAGGTCACCCCACTGGGCAGACACACACATCCGGGGGCATTCCAAGTGCCACCCCAACTGGGAAAAGGCAGACACCAGCCCTCAGAGCACAGTCACTTTCTGGGGACATCACAAAGGCCACCACTTGCGAGAGGGGGAGGGGTGGATATGAGAGGTTTGTGCCTTCACATTTTGGGGGAGCCACAGCAGAGTGGGGAGCCCTGCTTCCCTTTGGAGCAGCAGGTAGTCGGGAAACTCCCAGGTGCCCACCTGACCCAAGGCCCTGAAGGAGATTCAGGGAACAAACCCGGGAAAGTTGAGGCTCCTGAAACTGGGAGTGAGCAGACTCCACCCCGGGGCCTGCAGCTTCAGCCTCTGGACAAACAGCTGAGCTGTGTCCTCAATTTCCAGCTGTGGGGGAGGCCCGGCAGTGGGCAGTGCGGGGGGAGGGTGCCCAAGCTCATAAATCGGCCACTGCGGGTCCTGGGGGTGCTCCCTCTCCCCTCTCAGGCCTAGGTCATGGGTCAGAAGTCAGAGGAAGCTGGGGGTGGAGCCTGGAGGAGGGGGGCGGTTGCAGACTCCAGGGAGAGGCGGACCTGGGCTGGCCCACAGAACCATGCAGGCCACCGGGTGGGGACAAGAGGACACAGGGCCCACAGGACCCACAGGCTCACGGCGAGGTGGAGGAGGTGCAGGTAGGAGGGAGGGAGACAGGATGTGGGGCTGGGTGGGAGGTGGCCCCCCAGGAGGGCAGCGTGGACACTCCATCCATCCAAATGCCCTGGAGCACCTGCTGCCTCCCAGGCACTACACCAGAAGCTTGCGTGTTATTTTTATTACTTTTTAACATTCTGCTTAAGTAATCTCTGCTCGCTGTTAAAAAAGCAAACAATCTCAAGGAGAAAAATCCTCCCGAAACCCCACCACCCAGGGCATGAGGTGGCTTGTGGGTACACATCTGAGCGGCCCCCTCCTTGGCACCCTGTGCGCTGTGAACGGAGCACACCTACTGAACCCAGACCTGGTGTTCCTTCACCTCCCTCTGGCCTCCTGGGGGGTGAGTGGAATATCCCCACCTGGCAGACGGGAAAAGACCACAGAGGCCGGGCCGCTGGTCCAAGGTCACTGGAGAAACCAGCAGAACTCGGATTTGACCCCAGGTCTGGCGAACCCCCAAATCTCAGGGCTCCGGGAGGCAGCGAAGGATGGATATGACAGGGCAGATGCCTAGTGACACCCCTGCATTTAAAAGGCACGGACACGTGTGCACTGTCACGCCTACATGCCTTCCGCTCGGAGCCAACCAAGCAGCTTGGGGGCTGGGGCCTGGCCGCCGCTTGTGGGGTGCTGATGAGGTCTGGCTGGGCAGGGCGCGGGGGGGGGGTCTTGCATGGACCTGCCGCTCACTGCACAGGGGGCTGGGACCCCACTGGCATGCATCTGCTCCTCGGTCCAGCCAACCCCTCAGTGCAGCTCCCAATACAGAAATAACTGCCCCGGTCAAGGCTCAAGAACCGCCACCCCTTCTTGACCCACTGGCTGGACCCACCTTCAGTCCCACTCACCCCAGACAAGCAGGCTCTCTATAGAGAAACTTCGGGAATCTGGGCCTGGAGGTCCCTGGTGTGGACGGATCCTCCCTACTCAGTCCACTACTGGGGGTGGGGGCAGAAGGGAAAGAGACTGGGGCTTGGTGCCAATAGCCAATAGCCAGGGCTCAACCACCAAACTCATCTCCACGCTGGGTGGCCTCCCAAGGCAGCTCCTTGAGGCCCAGCGAGCTCGTCTGCAAAGAGGGGCGCACTCCCTCCCACACAGGTCCGCTGGGGGGACTGGAGCAATGACAAATGCCGAGTGCCTGGCGCAGCGCTTGGCACGGAGCAGGCACTGTCCTGGGACTGGGGATCCGATAATGACAGACAAGATCCCTTATGTCACCAAGCTTACAGCCTGGTGTAAGGGGAGAGTGTGATGACTCACAAATTAGTCAGCGAATGGTTTCGGGGCTGGCAAAAGAATAAGGGAAGATGCCAAGGAAGATAGAGCGACCACGGTTTTGTGGTCAGAAGGACTCAGCGGCCGGCCATTCCTGCACCTGGGCCCGTGCCTTCTGCCTGGGATGCCTCCCTCCCTCGTCTCTACTCAAATGTCCCTCCCCCTGACATTCTCTCTCCTACTTCCCAGCTTTGCTTTCCTCCTCAGCACCGGTCACGCCGGCCTAGTTTACTTACTGACCTTGTTTGTGACCTGTGCAACCCTCCACAGGACACGCCTTCCATTCCCACTCGGGGGCTTTGGCCCCCTTTGGCCCTGGGCGCCCGCATGCAGCCTGAATGAATGAACGGAGGAAGGACTATCTCCACCCAGACCTGAATAGGAAGTGGTCAGCGAGGCAGAGGCAGATTCAGGGGCAGGGCGTGTCAGGCAGCCGGAACCAGCCAGCACGCTTCAGGAGGGTGAAGACAGGGAGGGGCCGAGTGCAGGCAACAAGGAGAGATGAGGTGGGTGGGAAGGGGGCCCTAGGGGGCCACAGCACAGAGCTTCAGTGTGACTCCCCTGGAACCCATGACGGTCCTGGGCAGGGCCTATGTGGGCTGCCCGCCCCTCTCCCACACCACGTCCCCGACAGTCCATCTGCTCGGCCCCCACCCAGGGCCCATTCACTGTGGCCTCCGTGTTCCTGGCTGAAATAGCTCTTGTCCTCCAAGCAGCACATCAAAGACCGCCTTCCAGATGCCCTCGCTGTCTGACCACGCTCACCCTCAGCACCTGACCACACCTTCTGCTGAAACCTCCGTGGACGGGGCACCCGTTCAGCTCTGAAAATATTCTCCTCGATCTGCTGGGCTGGCCACTGAGCTATTGGCAAAAACCAGAAGCAACCCAAGTGGCCAACGGGGGCCGGGGAAGGTGCTGAGCGCCATGGAGGGCTGGCAGTCGCCAAGGACATGGAAGCCTGTGTGCAAAGTACCCAGGAGGCAGGTGGAATCTATTTAAAATATTCACAGAAGTGGACAAGCCACTGGAAGGGCCATGGGATCGGTGCTTTCCCTTCTGGTTTACCTGCCTCGCAGGCAGGGTAGATAAGAGGATCAAAGGGAGACAGGGACGCCCAGTGGTCAGGTGTGAGGGGGGTCCCTCCTGCTCTCTCGGGGCCTGGGTTCCTCTCCAGCCACGTTACACTGGACAGGGGGGAGGACACCCCTTTGGACACCACATGGCTCAGAGGCAGGGAGAATACAGGCAGGTGGAACCATATGGGACCTTGGGCTCCAGGACCCCAAGGAGGACCTGGGATGCCGGCCACTTCAGTGCCGCTTTCACCGTGAGGTATGTGGGGGCAAAGGTAAGTTCAGGAGCCCCTCAAGCTGAGGAGGCCCCAAGTCTGACGCCAAAGGGTCTGAGGCAAAGTCACTGGGCATGTAAGGAGCTCCGAGGACCCCGGCTTCCCGCACGGGGATGCTACCTGGCTACAGCACGACCCCTGAGAGGGGCTTCCTGAAAGAAACACCTTTTCCAACCCTGAACTTCTAAGGACCGCCAGCCGGCCCTCTGTCCCTCACCGACCACACCCTGAGCTGCCTCCCTGCTCGGTGCCTTTGGGGTGGGCGCTCAGGGTTTAGGGCTGGGCCACACGAGGCTTGCGGACCTGTGGCCGCTTCTCACTCATTTTCTACACGGTCTGAGCCTGTGTGTGGAACTAGCCTGTGGGCAGCTGACCTGCGATTTCTTTCCATACCCACTGCTCCGTGGGGAAGAATAGGGGAGCCATCTGCTTAGCAACAGGCTAGCAAATTCACACCCTGAGTTCCCTACCCCCCAT